AGAGAGAGAGAGAGAGAGAGAGAGAGAGAGAGAGAGAGAGAGAGAGAGAGAGAGAGAGAGAGAGAGAGGCTCCTCTGCTATGATATCCTACGGTACTCTACTACCCTGCTGCATACACTACTCCGTGTGCGTGTGTGTGTGTGTGTGAGGGAGAGAGAGAGAGGCTACTCCAAGCTACTCTGCTATACCATCCTATGCTACTCGACTACAATATTCGACGGCACTCTGCTGCGACGCTGTATGTGTGTGTGTGTGTGTGCATGTACGTGTGCGTGTGTGTGTGCATGCGTGTGTGTGTGTGTGTGTGCGTGTGTGTGCGTGTGTGTGTGTGTGTGTGTGTGTGTGTGTGTGTTGTGTGCGTGCGTGTGTGTGTGAGAGAGAGAGAGAGCGGGAGCGGGGGCCAGAATCCAAAACGTGAGTGGGAAAGGATGGTTGGGGCAGTCAGGGAGTAGGGTCGGCGCAGCGGGGCAGGAGGGTCGGCGCAGTGGGGAAGGAGGTTCCGCGCAGGGGATGAGGAGAGTCGACACAGTGGAGGGTCGGTGCAGTGGGCGAGCAGCATAGGCACGGTGGGGGAGGAGGTTCGGCTCAGTGGGGGAGGAGGGTCGGCGCACTTGGGGAGTAGGGTTGGTGCAAACGAGGAGGAGAGTCCACTCAGTCGGGGAGGTTGGGTGTAGTGGGAAAGGAGGATTGGCGTCGTTGACGAGGGGGGTCGGCGAAAAGGGTCGGTGCAGTGGGGGAGGACAGTGGGCGCAGTTGGCAAGGAGAGTCGGCGCAGTCAGGGAGTCGGTTCTACACAGTGGAGGTGGGTTGGCGCAGGGGTCAGGAGGCTCGACGTCGTCGGGGAGGAGCCTGGGATCGGGGGAGAGGTGCGGATCGGTGGAGGGAAGTAGGGATCGGCAGAGGGAAGCAGGGATCAGGAGGGAGTTGGGGATCGATGGAGGAAAGTCGGGATTGGGGGAGAGAGGTGGGGATCGATGGAGGGAAGTAGGAGGAGGCACGCTGGGATGGGGAAGGAAGTCGGCGACGGGAGGTCGGGGGAGAGTGGTCGGCAGAGACGTCGGAGTAGGGACGTCGGGGGAGGGAGGGGAGTCGGGATGGGAAGGGAAGTCGTGGGCGGGGGGTCAGTGCAGGGAGGGAAGTCGGGATGGCAGGGGGGTCGGGGAATGTAGGTTGGCGGAGGGGAGGTCGGCGGACGGGAGTCGGTGGAAAGAAGTCGGGGGAGGGAGGGGGCCTGGGGACATGGGGGGGTTAAATCGCAGGGAGGGAGGAGGAAATAGGAGGTGATGTGGAGGTGTATATTTCTCTCTCTCTCTCTCTCACACACACACACACACACACACACACACACACACACACAGATAGAGAGAGTGGGGGAGAGAGAGAGAGAGAGTGTCTCCATTTTTTTTTGGGGGGAATGTAATTTTCCAAATACCCCCATGGGTTGACATATATATCAAAAGGTCCCTGGAAGATAAGGGCAGACTGGAATAGCCTTTGGACTAACATGTTTGTGTTATGCCCCTGTCAGGTGGGAGTGCAAATAATCCTGGCCTTTTGCAATTGCGCCTACGAAAAGTTGGCAATTGCCGGCGCATTTTGCGAAGTTTGGCAGCGTCGGCGCCGTCGGGTAGGGGTGCAATGCAAAGATGGGGTCCAACTGGTGGCTGGGGTATTCCACAAAATGTGTTCGTCATCGTCCTTCGCTGCGGCGGGTCCACTTGTTTCTTCTAAATGGAGTACAGGAACGTTGAAAAATTTTCCGATGCTCAATGTCCCCACTCAGATCATCATAGTATTACATTATCATAGCCTTTAAACCAAGACAAAATGGAAACAAATAAAAATGGAAGGACGGAGAGGATGAGGAAATGGGAGGAGGGAGGGAGCGGGGGAGGAAAAGGCTAATGCAGTATCAAGGCAGTCACAGCACATGTATGTTGTCTGCAAAAGGACCACCACAAACACATGGCACAAGAAGAGACATACGGTCACGTACCTGCCCGACAGCATACAACAGTAAAGTACTATACAAACCGCCATAGTCAAAGAAACTGTCACAGCAGCTCGTATGGGAATAGCACCCAAACATACTGCACAAGAGACTCACCTCCCCGATAGATGTTTAAATTATGTTATGTGAGATAGTTCCCACCGCAATAGCCCAAACTGAATGTCGCTTTACCTGCCACCTAAGTTCGCACATTTACTAATGCCACCTAAGATCCAATGAATATTTGTCACTGCGATTCATGCGAAACAAGCACAGGCAAAGCAAACAATCTACTAGAAAAGACAATTCCTACAAAAGACAAGTATCACACAGGTATACCTGCAAGTATATCTGCGGCGACTAGATCCACTCAGGTGCATTGATTGGGAGATTCATCTGCCTTTCTGTCTAGTTGAGTCTCGTTCAAAAAGTGACAATGCAATGGAAAAGAAATGAGCATACTCAACCACATCAAGACGCTGCTGCTTGCAAAATCGTGTACTACCATATCACTCACTTTCCACGCAAGTGTAAAGCCAAAACAGAAGCTCCGGTGGCAGAAGAAGAGTATAACTAGGTCAACATGGCTGTGATTCTACAACCCACAGTGCCACACCACCAGTGCTTCTCAATCACCCATCTCTCTCTCTCTTTCTCTCTCTCTCCCCCTCTCTCTCTCTCTCTCCCCTCACACACACAGACCCCTGCACTCTGCACACACTGACACATTCAACCATGAGCTCCAATTCCCATGCATGTACGCACATAGGCAGATGCACGGAGTAGAGAAACACACACACACACACACACACACACACAACACGCACACACATACAATTCTTGAGCAGTCCGTTTTTCCCTCCGACATTAGAGAGCCACACACAACGAAGAAAAGGAGATGCAATTCCCATGCATGTACGCACAGACACACATGCATGGATGCACACACACACACACACACACACACACACACACACACACACACACACACACACACACACACACACAATACACACACACACACATACAATCATTGAGCAGTCCTTTTTCCCCTCCAACATTAGAGAGCATTGAGCAAGCCTGCCACACACAACGAAGAAAAGGAGATACAAGTTGTTCACCAGCGCCACAAGGTACCTCCAAAAGCAAAGGAAAAGACGGCACCGACCATGTGTTAAACTGGACACGCGAAGGAAGAGACACGGCTCTTGTCGATAAGACACTGCTGGACACAGAGAGTAACAATCTTAATAAAATGAACGCTGAAGGCTTTAAGAAGACTGTCTTCTTTTCCAAGCAGACCCCTGCTATGGCAAAGTCTGCCCGTCCTCGCCTTAAACGAGGCTGGCCAGACCCAGATTTCAAATGGGGCCCGACTCAGGGGGACCACATACGAATTCCGATGGCTCCAGAAATAAAACCACCAGCGGCAGTACCGCTCCCGCAAACTTCCCAGCAAGCTATCGGGCATTCCGGGTGCCCCAGCCTCGATGATCCGAAACTCGATCCAACGTTCACCAAGTCCATAACACCAGCCTCTCAACCACCCAGGCAATCTTCAAAGTGCTCCTACTGACTGAGTAAGAGTATATCGATGATGGTAGTCGGGTTTCCGACTGGCTAGAAGAAGAATTCTACAGCAGCCACGTCACCTCAGAGAAATATAGTCGATAGTGAGACCGCCCAAGCCTGATACATCTGCGGACATCGTAATATCATAACATCGCGCTTCATACACCTGTGCCATTCCCGGTCACTTACCCACTAACTTACATTTGCGTCAAATCCGTCCACTAACTGCGACTTCATGGGCTGCAAAAATGAAGGCCCGTCATAAAAAAAACTAAAAGCAAGATTTGTACATCAGAGAGGGCCCTCCTCCAATACACCCAGGATAAACTTTGTAGACAGTGGGCGAGCTGATACCCAGAAAAGAGAAAAACGTGTTCCAGGCATGCATCCAGCTGATGAAACAAAAGGCTTTTGAATTTGAAATTAATGAAACAAACCAACAACAAAAGGGGGGGGGGGGGGGGAACAAAACCGGAAAGAAGAAAAAAAACAAAGTTCTAAACAAAATGACAACGAGAACGAATGGAAGTGAAACAAGACATAACGGCAATGAATGGAGAAACGCATGAAAAACAAAACCAAACGACAACAGCAACAACAGCAACAACAACAGCAACAAAACAAGACAAAGCAGGACAAAACAAGACAGAGAAGATGTTCTAACAGTGCTACCCTGACTGGTGGCCAGTATTTCATCTTCAAAAGCTCCTTGCGAAATGCACAAGCTGGCCAAATACGTCTCAACAGGAAGACTTCCCGAAAAGAGGAAACAGAGAAGAAAAGCAAAGATAAACAAGAGAGGATGAAAGAGAGAAAAAAAAAAAAAAAAAAAAAAAGACGGGAGCGAGAGCTTCGCAGACGCCCTAGAGACGGCGGCTGGCTCCTACTTGTCGTCAAAATGACAAGCGGCCAGGACACACAACAGATTACCAACATTGAAAGAAAAAGCTGGTGCGGGAATTCCTTCGATCACAGCAAGCATTGGCCTTTTTCAAAACTGGGCCATCGAACCGTGGTCGAAAAACTACGCGAAGATTTCGCCGTCCGCTTCGCCTTGCCATTAAAAAATGCAAGCCAGATATGCGAAGAAAAAAAGAAAGAAAGCAGCATGCGCGGTTCTCCTCCTAACATTATCCGTACAGAGCTGCCAAGCAAAGTTGGCCACAGCAAGCGCCGTACGGCGTACGCTTGCCCGGGACATTTGATCTGTACAGCTAAATTTATTTATAATATATAAAACTACAGCCTCTCTTGCTCATAACAAGACATGATTCACCAGTGTCGCCACAAGGCTCTGGCACAAAAGAGAGACGCAAACACAGCCTACTCAAAATACACAACCCCTTCGAAAGAAAAGAAGAGAAAAAAAAATACAACCCCTCCTCACCAGAGCCCATTCCCCACACCACTCTCCGACGCACCACTTAAACTCCCCCTTCTAAAACATATACCGTCGGACCAGGTTTAACGCCCCCACTTTCTCCTCCCCTCCTCCTCCCCCTCCTCCTCCTCCTTACGGAACATGCCCGCATAAAAAAACTCACAAACGATCAATACCTGCGCTGACGAACAGTCAGTGACCCTCTTTAGAAGAGGCCTGCCATCAATCAAAGCAAATCCACTCCACCAGAATATCCGACCAGATGCGTACTTTCTTCACATTCACCCACCGAACTTACAATTGCTGGATGGTACTTCACTGCTAGATGTCCTCCAATGGTCTGCCGGACGCATTCTTCAACATCTGAACCAGCAGCAAGTAATTCCCAAGAAGCTTCAATGACAGAAAGGCGGTCGGTCCCAAAACGCGCATCGCCTGGCATCATGCTATCGGGCAGTTCCCGAAACCAGCAGCAAGTAATTCCTGAAAAGCTTCCATTTACAGAAAGGCGGTCCCGAAACGCACATCGCCGCGCATCGCCTGGCATCATGCTATGAGAGCATACACCGCCGGTCACACTTGCCAGCACCGTCCTTCCAAATTTTCTTACAACAGAACTGCATCACGCGACATTACTGGAGAAGGAAGGAGGACATCAAAGTCAGGGCGCAGAAATGAAGGCCTCTCCGCTGCAAGCGATGGACAGCAGCAGCATGTCTGTCATCCCAACCTCTTTCAGGAAACCTGACCATTCACCAAGCGTTTCGACCTATGACACATGAACAGGTCCAGAAACAGACCGGTCCCAGATAAATGCGATCAGTAGTTCGGACCTGTTGCTTGCAGGCTAAATTTGTCAGAAGAAGTGGTGCCTCCCCATACTCTTGCCCCACCACCAGGAAGAAAGACAAAGAAGAAAAACATGTTCTAACTGCAGTTGTCAGAAGAAGTGGTGCCGCCCCATACTCTCGCACCACCACCGGAAGAAAGAAAAAAAAGAAAAACATGTTACTGCAGTCTGGTACACTGGCAAAACTTGACCTTCCCTCAGCAGTCTGCCATTTGGACTGATAAACCAGGTCCAGACTGATAAACCAGGTCCAGACTGATAAACCGGGTCCAGACTGATAAACCAGGTCCAGACTGATAAACCAGGTCCAGACTGAGGAGTTCGAATAAACTACAATCGTACACTGCATGCCCTAAGACCATCGTCAACGAAAAGAGTAAACCCAAAAGAGGGTGCCGCTTCGTACCACACTTTAAAGTAACTATATACTACTGTGATTTCACATAGTTAAAGAAAGCAACTCTCTTCACCATAGAGGAGGAGACGAGGGCAAAATCGAATGCAGCACCAACGCCCAGCAGATCACAGAGCAAACAGCTCCAGTTGTGGGCCAAAAACAAAGTTGGCTTTCTCCCAGCAGTTTATCCCGTGGCCAACTTCAGGCCCCTCACTTGTTCGAGACCTGCTGCAGCAAAACGCTCGATACGATTCGACTTATACATCCCTATGGGCGTTGCTACACAGCAAAATGCTTGACCTGATAAGTTTTTTTTTTCAGACCATTCATCTGTGGCATTATTTTCTACCAGACCCTAACTGCTCCTTATTTCCGCAAAAAAATATTGAATCTGATATGCTGTCCCGCTGCTATTGCACTCAAAAATCAGATCTGTCCAAAGAGTGCTGGCTGGCTGTAGCTACTTAACAGGGCTAAACACAGTGTCTAGCTGTCAACAGATCCACAGCTAGAGGCCCCATTAGCCGACTACATCTATAGCCCTAGACTCCCCCGTGTCTCATAGCCGTGCATCCCATGCACCCCTATCGGCGCAGAGGATTCCCTTTTCATCTACCGTCTTCCCCCGACTAGAACGGACGGTCATTATCACTGTATCTAGACTGAAAGCTTCCAAAAATACAGGCATAATGACCATACGTTCTCTCATTCGGGGGGAAGATTGTAGGATGCTCTTCATTCGGGCGCCCTTCTCAATAGCTTCAAGTTAAACAGAGCCTTGTGTGTGCTTATTGAAGAAATACGTTGGTCTTTTCATGTTCCACGAACTCGAGTTGAGCAACCCCATTACTCGATACTTTTAAAAAGTGGGGGGTGGGGGGCAACAGTACCCCTCTATATACTTCACTGAAGTCAAAACAGTGTTGCCTTTGTGGCTCCAATCCAATCTCATCCTCTCTCCTAAGCCGCCAGTGCCCGTTAGGAGAAGGGGAGTGATGGGATGCTTTTCTCCTGCCGTGGTCGCAGGAGGCTCTTTTCAAACGGTTACAACCCAACCAAAACAGCAATCGGGGAACCCCTTAAGATTGCTCAATGTGTCCACACGTGAACAAAGACAAGGGTTGGTGGTTTAAACAGACCCTGCCAGCACACCCTCACAAGCCTGAGAGGGGTCGCTCGTCTCTTATCTGCATTCGCATCCATCTCCTCCTATGTTGACCAGACTTTGCCTCTTCACATAGTGCGGCCACATCTCTTTTCGACACTTCTCGCTCCCATGATGCCTTCTTTTCAGGGCATACTCACACCAGGACCTTGTCGACTGAGCTGCGGACGTAATCCCGATCACACACATTCACGTCTTGCCATAATTGCGGCCAGGTGCATCCGGGAAAGCATTAGTGCGACTAGGCCCTCAAAAGAGCAAAAACTACGAGGCACGCCCTCTTGTCTGATCGGGGGGGTCTTCGCTTTCCGGAAGAAACAGGGAAGTGATACCCTGCATGTGGAGCAGAACCGCTGGAGAAGTGGGGGAACGCCTGACAATGAAAGCACCACTACATCTGAGTCTCTTATCCGGCCGGATGTGGATTCCCTGGCGCGCCAAGCTTTGCCGGAAGGCCACAGGAGCCCTTTTTTTTTTACTTTTGGCTGGCGCCACCAGCCATTTTGGTCCAAGAGCACTGTTCACCCGAAGTCTTCGGAATATCCTACATTGTGGAGGGCCAACATTGCCTGGGAAAGGTAGTAGTGGTGCGAGGGAGCTTCTCCGTCTTTGTGAACGCATGCCTGTCCCTCCCAGAAAAGGATCTGAGGCACTGCACTTCATTCCAGTGCACTGTCTTCCATTGATAGTCTGCCCTTTTCAGGAGCTCCACGATTGCAAGAGAGCCATCTCCGCTAGTTTGCACAGCCATAGGAACATCTGCTTTGCTTCCTTGCTTCCCTGCTCTCACCGTTTTTTTTTTCTACGGGCAATACATGTACAATGAAAATGCACATCACCTGCATATGTTTGCCCTAATTATTGCCTTCTAGCATTACAAGATGGCGAAACAGCTCGCTAAAACCATGCTCAACGGGGTCAGGACCGGCACAGCATGACATCGCCGAGTTGACTAAAGAGACGTCTCCCACTGTCTCCCTCATGCTTTCAAAATCTGCCCCTACCTATGAAACTGATAGATACATCTACCCACAGTCGGAAGAGAGCTCGCACAATGAATTGGAATCAGCAGCGAGCCCATGGATCTCCTCCACACTTGCCTTACAGAGTGGGTCACTCTAACCAAAGAAGAAAATATACGTAGGAGTTAAGAAACAGGACAGGGCCTCCTCCACTGGCTGATACGATCACGACGGATACAACGACTGCCACCTACACCCCAACAAGCTACCAGGGAAAGGTCAAACCCCACAAGCTGGCACATGCACAAGAAGTGGGCATACCAAAGGAACTTGGTTAAGAAGTGGGCATAGCAGAGAAACACTGACAGTTTCTCTCATCTCATACGATTCCTTTAGACACCACTACCTCCAAGGTTCTTTTCTTGTGCCGATGCAGATTTCCCCATGCACATCAAGCTTTGCAGAAACGCCACAGCGGCGTTTTTTTTTTCCTTCTCTTTTGGCTGGTGCCGCCAGCCTCTTCGGTGCGGTAGCACTGTTCATCGGAAGTCTTCGGAATGTTACATTTTCAATTCTCTACGTCGACTGCAAAAGATACTGGTGGTTCAAAAAAGTTCTTTTCTAAACACAACAGCTGGCTACACTGTTTCCACATCCTTCCTTAATTCAATAATAGCCAAGTTTAGCTATTCAACAGCTCCTTGCCTAATCAATAGCCAAGTTTAGCTAATCAACAGCTACGGTAATCAATAGCTTGATGAAGGGCAGAGCACTCCAGCAACAAGATAGACAAAGAAGCCATGTCCTCTTCCACCAAGGACGAACAATAACAACCTAGAAATGTGAGATGTGAGAGTGCCATATGACACTCTGTCTCATTCATACAAGCAGATATACGCAGATCTCTCATCCCCCTTTCTAGCTTCCTTTCGGGAGATGTCAAATAAAAGTCGATAACGGGACGATGACCTCCAACTAGTGCGATGTGTGATGGACGGCCACCTTGAGAAGAACGAGAGCTTCGACAACGAACGTCGCTGTCAACTGTATCACCTAGTACAAGCTTGCAGCGATGCGAAAATGCTGCAAAGGACCTCATAAAAGCGTTTAGCTAAAACCGAACGTAGTACAGTCCTTTTAATTGACACTCGATGGCGCAAAGAGCCATATACTCGGTGACTTTCTGCACTCTCCTGCCAAAACTCCCGAGTACTAAATTGTAGCCTAAGAAGGCAGGCAAGATAAAATCAGCAGCAGGCATAGCCTCCACAGATTGCAGGCTAGCAGCTTGAGGTAGCAAAATTCCTTATCCGCACAACATACAACCAGACGGTCGCATGTTTCCTCTGACACATTTCCAAAGCAGGGCAGACGTCTGAACGACATTCCCCACTATGTGTTGGGGGTTCGCCTTCTCCTGAAGCAGCAACCATTAAGCTGCAATTGTATATATCATGCTTTGAGAAAAAAGCCTATTTCATTACGCCCACGCGCCCTGCCATCCGCACTCCGATATAGCAGCTATTCAACTACATCTCCTGTCTCTGTGCACAACCCCCCTGTGCACAAACCCCACAGTCAACAGACTTCATGTGCTGTGTGTGCGGCTCCCTTGCATACCGTTTCTGAGCATCATGGAGCCATGGGTCATCCTGAAGCGTCAGGGAAGTTACAAAATAGTTGCCCTGAAATGAGGGCAACTGGCTGCACAAACACTTGAACAGATGCGCACAGGAACCTGAACTCCTGTCGCTGCAATCCTGCATGACCCAGAGGGACTATATCTGACAAAGATCAAGTCATGGGATCCGCACGACAGACGAGAACATCCCACGTCTTCCAACCGTCCGATACCTCTTTCAAGTGCTTTCTAGCAGTAACTATATCCGACAAAGATCACGTCATGGGATCCGCACGACAGACGAGAACATCCCACGTCTTCCAACCATCCGATACCTCTTTCTAGTGCTTTCTAGCAGTAACTCCACAAACTAATGCAACCTTCTCCGTAAAAAGAATTTAACACATAAACCTGCTATATCGCCACTATGCTCTTGCACTCCCACACCATCAGGCAAAAACATGAACCTCCTCCTGGGCAGAGAATGAACATAGATAGAACCTGATGAGGAGAAGGAGCGCAAAAGCAGGAAACGTGTACAGCAAACACCCCCTGTTTTTGCTCCGCTGAGTACACCGTGCTGCTCCCAGAGTAGGCCCCAAAACGCCTTTCCATCTGCACAGCCTAAAAGGTTTAGCATAGAAGACAACACCGTATTCAACAACAAGCACGTTTTGCCTAGGCCAGCAATCCTTCCCCTCCCCACTCACGCAAAGGGTCACTTGCCCAGGCTTTCTGCAGCTGCCATTAGACCTTGCCAACTGCGCATTGCGGCTACCATTCATCCAGGTGGTACATATATACAAGGACAACAGGATCCGGGGAGGGGCGGGGGGTGTGGCACAAGGTGACCTACACATAGTCCTTTGGAATCCAGCAAGTGCCAAATAGAATTTATAACAGGGAGAAGCGCTAGTCGCATGTCAGACAGACCTCACCGTCTGAGAGTGTCGCCCCCGCCATGTACGAGCTGATGTAAAGCCTCACTCCAACATCCATTGGCCTGTTCTTTTCCTGCACTGCATGGAGAGCTACTGGCACAGACTTAAACCTAGTGAGCGTTAACGGAAGCACGGCACCTTCCACTTCATCAGTGCCAAGTTCCTTATCATCACGTGTAAGATAATCCGCATCTGGGCTGCTGCATCTAATCTCCGCAGGGTTGATGATGGTCGCAATGTCTGAGAACGCTTTACGATGGCCACCTCTCCCCGACTTTGCTCCTCGCCGAGATGGCTTTACCTCTTCAGGACAGAGATCAAGGATCAGTGTTTCCGTGGTCGCAAACCACTCAGCTTTGACACCTTCGATATCCTCGTACCAGATCCGTTTTTCTTGCTGCATCAACAAATTTCCACACCGCATCACAAAGACAATCCATCAGCAGCTTGTCCAAGTACGTTCTCCTTCACACAACTCGATACCGAATCTGGTGATTTCTTTCATTTCTTTTTTTTCCTCCGGCGGTAGCCCCTAACAGGATAACACATTATCAACTTCCAATATCATCTCCACGGGGCCCCCCCACGGCTAACACATTATTAACTTCCAATATCATCTCCATCAAAGGTGTTGCAGGAGAGGGCAACGAATGCACAAACAGGAAGCACTCATAAGAAGGTCAAGAATAACTCAAAAAACATAGAGCAATACAATGAAGTAATGAGCCAGCATGAGCACGTGAAGTAGAAGAAGAAATAAGATGAGCAAAGAAAAGAAAAWTGAAAGGACAGACAGGCAAAGAGACAGACAAACCAGAATGACACTTTGTTTCACAATATTATTATTTCTTTCAGTGTTTTACAAAAAATATTTACACTCAATCAAAGGATAAAAATCAAAAACAAAGACACATTGAAATCATTCAGTTTCTCAGTCTTCTTAACACCTCCTCCACTGTGCCTCTAACGTACAAGGCTCGCCACGTTGGTGAAGTTGAGCGCGAGCTGCCCCCATCCCCATATGCCATAACAGCCCACTTGCACGCTATGGGAAAGAGGCAGAGTGAAGGAAGAGGTGTCAAACACAAGGGAGAGAAGAGCAGAAAAGGAAAATCGATAGGCAGAGGGAGAAAAAAATAAAAATAAAATAAGGGTGACACAAACATCTTCTTTCTTTTACTGCATTCTTCTTTCTTTCACAGTTTTGCAGTTTTTGGTGAAGAGTCTACCACGTCCATTTTTCAGCGCACCTGCACTTCCTTCATTTTTTATTCTCATTTTCACCCTTCGGACTTTTTCTTTGAGGGTGYTAGGGTGCAGGGTACAAACAAAGTAAAACGACACAAACTTATGTTCTTCTTTTACTGCAGTCTTCACTGTTTTGCAGTTTTAGTGAAGGGTTTCCCACCTTTGCACATTCTTGTACACTCTTTTCAGCGCACCTGCACATTTTTGTCAGGGTGCAAGGTACGTCTAAGTAAGACCCTCACGACAGATAGGACAACTATCCTTACTATCATAAGGATGCGGGCGATGGTAGCAGCCCTCCCGCTGATCTATAGGACGAAAACCATTCAGGTAAGCAACTTCGTCACAGCAGGAACCAGGACGGCTAGCATCGACCATACCTCTGAAGCATGCACGGCAGAGGGCATGCCGGTTGCAGGCCATGACCATTGTGGGGCGTTCACCATCACAGTTAAGTGCACATTCACTATAGCGCCCGTAGGCACAGATGGGACATACTGCATCTGGATGCAGAGGATGTTCACAATCCACAGAGATAGGCGTAGAGGCGGGCATGGAAGTACACGAGGTACCCATAGGGTCAATGACCTGGAGCAGTTGCAGGTTAGGGTAATTACGCACGAGATCACAGATGGCAGTAATAGTTTGCACCATAGCACCGTCATTCCATAATTCCCAAGAACCAGAGGCACGGACAAGAGCGGTGTAGTGGC